GAGATTTTTTTTCCCTCTCCCATTCTCCTGTTTGGAACAAGTGCTGAGTATTTCTATGGTTGCAGCCTCTCTAATCTCACAGCAGCCAACCTGAGAAGGAAGGTGATGCTGTACCAGCAACACGCATGGTAAGAGATCCTCTCTGAAGACATCTGTAGGGGATGGGAAAAGGTAACCCGACTTGCTGAAGCCGGTTGGGATAATGCCACCTGCCCTGCAGGCCAGCATGGGCTGGCCATAGTCAGCTTGATTTTTCAGAGCTCTTGTTCAAGGCGAAGTGAGATTTCAGAGTTCTGGGGTGGAACAAAGACCCCTTTTGCCCTACAAATGCTCTCCCTTGACACCTGGAGAGCCATGATGTTCACAGGGGCATGTTCAGGTGACGAGGAAGCTGGTTATGTTGTAACCAGAGCCAGCCAGCTCCCTGGCTTGCATGTATCCTGTTGCTCAGTGTTTACCCAGGAAGGATTGGCCAGCAGCAGTTTGCCCCCCAGCCCTGTAAATATCTCCCATTGGGTGGCTGTTTGTGTTACCTGCAAGAAGAGCTCAAGGTTGTCACGTTTGGAGCCAAAGCTGCACCTGGGAGTGGTTTTTTTATTGATATAAGTGTCAGGGTTGTTTGGATTTTTTTTTTTTATAAGCTTGTGCAGCAGTGCTGGGTGTTGGCTGCAGCCCAGGCAGGGGGTGGTGACTGGGCTATGCCAGTGCTCCTGCTGGGAATCAGACCTGGAAGGTCCTGGCTAGAGGGTCTTGCCCCTCTACTCTCGGTCAAACCGACACTGCATTGGGGGTCAGGGAGGAATTTTTCCCTTAGTCAAAATTGGTACAGACTGGTGGGGGTGGCTTGCCTTCCTCTGTAGCAGAAGGCACAGCCTCTGACTGGGATCTCTCAAGTGCATTTAATACCCCCTCTCAAATGGCAAAATTTGATGTCTTCCGTGTTTTGGGGCTGTTGGTTATAGCCGTGTTGGTCTAAGGACATAGGCAGACAAGGTTCTTTGTGTAATGTGATATCTTTTATTTCCAACTATTTAGTCAGTCTAATAAAAGATACCACAGTTAGACAAGGTCCTTTGGGTGCCTTATACCCCCTTGCAGTGGCAGGATGCTGGCAGCCTTCATCCCCCCGCTTTACCTGGAGCACGTCTGGGAGTTTTTGGTGTCTTGGGGCAATGGGCCTTGCAGTCCGACAGGGCTGCATGGGTAGTTTTTCGGAACAGGTCAGACCAGGATGTCTGGGATGGTTTAGATGGGGCTGATCCTGCCTCAGGCAGGGGGTTGGGCTAGATGTGACTTCCGGAGGGCCCTGCCAGCTTCACTGCTTTATGATTCTGTTGTAAGAGCTGGGAGTTGATTCAAGGGCTGCGGGGCTTTCCTCACAAGGAAATGGAGATGGCCGCGTGCCCTATGCTGGTCTCCTGGTCCCAGCCCTCTTACTGAGATGACAGTTGGACCCCTGAGTGCAAGATCACTATGAAACCTCTCCAAAGACCCCCTTTTTCTACAGGGCCCTCACTGAGCCTGATGGCTGTCTTCATCTGCTGTGAATGTGTATTAGAATCCCCCTCTCCCTCCCTCTAGCTGGGTCATGTCTATAAACCCCTTGGGGCAAAGATATGGGGCCATTTCTTCCCCTGGAGGTGCAGAGCACCCATTGCGATCCCAAGAATCAAGGGTGTCCTGCCATAAAGCTATAAATGCTCCAGTGGCTTTTGGGCAGTGGCCTGTTCCATCAGTGCCATGGACCAGCTGGGGTTCAAGATATCTCCAAGTCCCCCTAGAACTGTTCTCTCTCCTCTCTGCTCTTCCCCTGGACTGGGAACGGGGTCTTCTGGGTTCTGCTCCTAGTTCTGCTGCTGACCTGTTCTGTGAGCCCTGTTGACCTGTTCTGCAGACAGTTTGTAGCCTTGTGCTGTTCCCAGAGCAAGCTGCATCCCCTCTGGGCACCTGGGAGCAGTTTGAGGTCTGGTCATGACCCTGCAGACAGCAGCAGGTTTGGAACTCAGGTCCCCTACTCCGAGGCAGGCCCCTGCCACGCAATGGTAGGGGTCTGATCCACCCTCTGTTAGTTGCTCAGCAGGGAGACCTCACCAGCTGTCCTCATTCCCCAGCAAGTTTTCCTTCTAATGCCAGTTGTGCTTCCCCTCCCAGGGCTACACGTCCTTCTGGAATGACTGCATCTCCTCGGGCCTGCGCGGTGGCATCCTCATCGAACTGGCAATGCGTGGTCGGATCCATTTGGAGCCTCCCACCATAAGGAAGAGGAGGCTGCTGGACAGGAAGGTGAGCTGCCCCCGGGGTGGGGGGACCCAGGCTTTCCTCTTCAGTGGGGCTGGCTGCCTTTGGGGATAGAAGGCGCCTGGCCCTCTTCTGCCCTGCAGCAAAGGTCAGGAGGTTGAAACAGTGATCTCAGACGAACTGGGGCACATGGGTAGCCAGTACACTTTTTCTAGTGTACAAAAATTGAGGACGGATGACACATCCCAAAATCAGGGGTAACCTCTAAAACAGCTGAGCATTATTCCTGATAGAATCAGGGTAAAACCCTCCCAGCTTAAGTTATACCAGTGCAGCTGTCATCTGTCCAGATTTATCTTGGGTTAGCGGCTTGCAAATGGTCAGCCAGCTGTTACCTGATTCCCTGCCATGTAGTAGTGGGGTGCAGCAATAGCTGTTTGGTACCCGGAGTGAGCTGCATTTTGGTCTGTTCCTGATCCCGGTATGCATTGGCATACAAATTGCTTAAGGGGTATATGCCTGTGTCCTTGCCCTAAAAGTGTCTGTAACCCCTGCGCAGTTCAGGAAGGATGCTGCGCATACTCGCTGGTGGGGATCAGATCTGTATTCAAGAGTGGCTCTGGTTATGAGGACCCCTGTGTGAGGGTGTTCCCTGAATCATTGAATCCTAGAGAGGTAGGGCTGGAAGGGACCTACAGAGGTCACATCTAGTTCAACCCCCTGCTTGAGGCAGGATCAGCCTTGTCCAAACCATCCCAGACACATCCATCATCTAAACACTTCATAAGTTAACAATCAACCCTGACTCAGCAGAGACATCACACCCAAACCTGCCACAGGGAAATCAGGAGGGACTATTGCAGCCAGTGTCTTGCTGCTGTAAAGGGTTGTTAATTATACTCTCAAGAGATCCCGGGTAGAGGCTGTGCCCCTGCTATAGAAAAAGGCAGACCGCTCTCTTCCCCTCCAATTCCATACCAGGCTGACCAGGGGGTAAAATTCCTCCGTGACCTCAAATAGGCATCAGTCTGACCCTGAGTGGAGGGGCAAGACCCTCTAGTCGGGACCCTCCAGTTTTGGTCCTAGAAGAAGCATTGGCACAGCCCAGTCCCCATCCGCAGCCTGGGCTGTAGCCAACACCCAGTGCCTTTTGATGAAGGCTTAAACCCCCCCTGACACATTGCTACCACTATTGAGGCTCCATCAGAGCTGCATCCTTGGTGGGGGATGCCCCAAGGAGGTGGGGGGGTTCCTGTGTGCCCTGGAACTCTACTGACCTGTGTAGAGTGTGTGCGTCGTGTGTCCTTCCCCCAGGGCCTATCCAAACGACCCCAGTTTTGGGTTCCCCAGCTCCAATCCCAGACTGCAGGATTGGACTGTGCAGAGGTAGCAGAGTCGTGATGCTCCAGCTGGGGAGAAAGGAACTGGTGCCTGCCTGGGACCTGGCCTCACTCCGGCTGTCTCTTTTTGTCCTTGCAGGTACTCTTGAAGTCAGATACCCCAACTGGCGACATCCTGCTAGATGAGACTCTCAAACACATCAAAGCCACAGAGCCCGCAGAGACGGTGCAGACCTGGATAGAGCTGCTTACGGGTATGTGGGTTTGGGGCGTGCCCTGCACTGCTTGGTGCCCTGGGGCTCCCCCCTTCCCCAGGACTGCAGGCTGAACAGTTTGGGACCTGGTGGCTGGCTCCACCTAGGCAAGGAATGGAGCCAGGCAGGTGGCTGTGGGAGGAAGTGGTGTTTCCTTATCCTTTTGTTTGCACTGGAGGGTCCCGGATGGTGCTTGTACTTCGGGCTTGTGTACACTACGTCAGCACAGGTCCTGGAGAGGGCAGGGCTGAGTGTGCCTCTCCCATGCCTGGCTCGACTGGGAGTTGGCCCTGGATCCTGGGTTTTTTTTTTTTGTTTTGTTTTGTTTTGTTTGTTTGTTTGTGTTTTGTTTTGTTTTGTTTCCAGCAGTCCTTTGTTGAGCACCACTTCCAGCTCTGGAGAGCATGGGCAGACTGGGAGGCCTGGAGACTGAAGGACTGTGTTACCATAG